CATATACATATATACATAATATAAATCAGTAAAATAAGGTGTATGTATATGTACACACACACACACACACACACACACACACACACACACACACTTGGGCTTGTGTACTTTGCTATTTCCACGTTACAGTTCCAGCCCTGACAAAGTTCTAAGGCTTTGCTCTTTCTCTTTCCTCCTCTCTTCTCTTTTACCTTCTCTTTTACCTCCCTCCTTCCTTCCCTCTCTTGCTTACCTGCCTGGAGCTCCCTATTCTCTTTATAGTAGATGAGCTTGTACTTCTGATCCTCTTGAATTCTAGGATTGATCACAGTTTTGCACTGTGTCTGGTTTATGAAGTGTTAGAGATGGAACCCACAGTTCTGTATGTACTAGGCCAGCACTTTACCACCTAATATATATCCCAACTCCTGTTACATTTCTTTGAAACAAGGTGTTTTGTTCATGGTTTACTTTTTATGTATTCAATGTTCTGCCTGCACACGTTCCTGCAGGCCAGAAGAGGGCACCAGATCTCATTACAGATGGTTGTGAGCCACCATGTGGTTGCTGAGAGTTGAACTAAAGACCTTTAAAAGATCAGCCAGTGCTCTTAACCTCTGAGCCATTTCTCCAGCCCTGGTTTAGGTTTTTCATGATAGGATTTGTAGCCCTGGCTGTTCTGGAACTCAGTCTGTAGACCAGAACTGGCCTCAAACTCAGAGGTCTACCTGCCTCTACTTCCTGAGAGGTGGGATTAAAGGCATGCACCACCATGACCAGCTAATTTTTGTGTTTTTTGAGACAGGGTTTCTTCTCTCTATGTAGTCTTGATTGTCCTGGCACTTTTGTAGACCATGCCAGCCTAGAACTCAAAAGAGATCCTTCTATCCCTGCCTTTTGAGTGCTAGGATTAGAGGTATGAACTGTGCCTGGCTCGTGACCCAGATGTGATCCTTGGAACCACATGGTAGGAAAGAAGCAACTTCTGTAAGTTGTCTGTTAACCCCATGTACACTGGTGCAGATACTGTACACATGTGTGCACACACAGAGGATACAGTATTTTCTAATTATCTGAATCTTTGGGGGGGGTTGTTTTTGTTTTTTGTTTTAGTTCAGTTTGTTTTTTTCCGAAACGGTTTCTCTGTGTAAACAGTTCTGGCTATCCTGGAACTCGCTTTATAGGCCAGGCTGGCTTCGAACTCACTGAGATCCTCCTGCCTCTGCCCCCCAAGTGCTGGGATTAAAGGTGTGCGCCACCACTGCTTGGCATTATTTGATTCTTAAATCAATGGCTTTATTATACTTTATAAATTTCTACTTCAGTCATGATGTAGGTATGAAAACTCATCTCAAGAGGCCAAGTAAATCAATCTTTAAAGCTTCTTAAGAGCATAATATTGAGAACATTATGTATGAAGATTTAGAAAACCTTTATTTTGCTGTTGCCTTTAAAGACGTAGAGAATATCTTTTTAATAAACTTAGAAAATGGTGACTTTGTAAGTAAATTTTATAATAATGGAAACATCTGCTTAATTAATGGCAAACAGTTTATTGTGTGAAGCATTTAAATTGGTAAGAAAATACTTTGAAGGGCAGAGTACTTCTAATTAATTTAAAGGGTTACTTTGGGTAATGCTAAAAAATGCTTTATTATAACCTTGGAGTCTCAGTGACAGCAGATGATCAGAGATGCAGGACATCTAAGCCTGTGGCCTTCTGGAGGCTTTGACCCAAATTTATTTATTTATAGAAGCTCATTTTAGACACAAACACATACATACATGCACAATACACACGAAAAACAAGGTTATTTACCAAAGCATCACAAGTAGAGTAAAATAATTTCAGTTCGTCAGCTAAAGGGCTCAGTAGTAGTTTATGTAGAGTACCCAAGTGAACAATGATAGGAAAAATAATACATGGGAACATACTAAAGTATTTTGAACAGAAATGGTAGAATAATAAGGTGGTGTATTCTTGTAGTACTTAGAAGGCTGTGGCAGGAGGATCAGGACTTCAGTGCCAGTCTTGGTTACATAAGTTTGAGAACAGTTTAAGTAAGCTATGTGTGACCTCACCCTGCTCCAGTCTAAATATGTTTTTTTCATAATTTAAGAATGTTAGATTTAAACCAGGATGTGCTGACACATGCCTTTAATCCTAGCACTTGGGAGACAAAGGCGGGCTCTCTCTGAGTTCAAGGTGAGTTTCAGGATAGCCAGGGCTACACAGAGAAACCCTGTCTTGAGAAGTGTGCGTGCGTGTGCGCGCACGCACACACACACACACACATATACACACACACACCCAAAAAAAAGTTAGATTTGGGGTTGGAGAGGTGGCTCAGCAGATAAGAATACTGACTCTTCTCTCAGCAGGCTTCAATTCCCAACACCCACATTGTAGCTCATAACTGCAAGTTCAGTTCCAGGTGCTCCAGCACCCTCTTCCGGTCTCTGCAGGCACTTAATTCACAAATGGTGTGCATACATATACAGACAAAACCCACACACAAAATAAAAATGTACAACTTTTTAATGTTGGATTTTACTATTTTTTACTGTTGTACTTTTAAAATATGTTCTAAAATTAGTTCTTCCTAACAGCTTTTTGATCTCTTAAAACCAAGCCAAAGATTGTAGTTAACAGTTGCTGAGTGTATGCCAGACTGTAAGTTAGATCTGCATCACTACAAAAGAAAACATGAAAAACAAGCTGAGGAGAAAGAAAAGAGAATAATTTCTTTCATATAGTTTTCCAAATATCACTATTCATTTCCAGGTTCCAAGTTTGTGTTAAAATAGCTAAAAAGCTGACATGTGACTATGGAGCCAATACTATAGATAAATCAGTCTCAGTAAGCCTTTATAGTATATTCTCTTTGGAAGTTCTGTAGATTGACACTAGGACTAACATGATATATAGTTACTTTACCATTGACCTGTATCTCTAGTTCTTAGTGGTTTGTGGTTTTTGTTTTTGTTTTATTGTGTTGTTTTTTTGCTTTCATGGAGGTACTCAGACCAGCCTTGAACTTCGTCATAATTCAGGCAGCCTTAATATTGCACTTTCTTCCAGTAGCCGATATATATACCTGCCCCATCTGACTAGAGTGTACCACATCCTTTTAAGGGTTTTCTGTTTGGCACACTGGTGCTATGACATCAGCTGAAAACATGTCAGCATTTGTTGAGGTGGTCTAGAGTAGTTTCAGAGCCACCCTCCCCCCTTTTATGAGTTTTAAGAGCTGCTCTAACAGTTTTGTGATATAAAAATTGTCATTGAGGTGGGCATAGTGGCACACAGCTTTAATCCTAGCTAAAGAGGAAGCAGAGATAGGTGGCTCGCTTAGTTCAAGGCCAGTCTAATCTACAAAGGAAGTTCCAGACCAGCTAAGCTAAGGGTGAAACCCTGTCTTTAAAAAAAAGTCTGAGACAGGTGGATCACAAATTTAATGAAGCCAGGCTTGGACAACAGAAGGAGATTTCATTTCAAAAAGGGATAGAGGGAGAAAAGATAAAAGAAAAATAGTGACTTTTCTTTAAAATAGGTTAGGGTGGTAGCATTCAGAGGGTGAAGCAGGAGGATTGCCATAAATTCAAGGTTAACCTGGACTAAGCAATAAAACAGTTTTGGGGAGCTGGTGGTGTGCCTTCCTCTAGTCCCAGCATGGAAAATGCTGACATGAGAGTATTGGAGCCCAGGCTAGCACTACCATCTGAACAATATAGACTCCTTTTCAAAACACAAAAAATAGGGTCTGCTACATGGTTCAGCTTGCCTTATAATCCTGATGGCCTGAGTTCAGTCCCCATAACCCATGTAAAATGCCACATGTGGTAGCATGCATCTGTAATCCCAGCATCCTTCCTGTGAGATGGGAGGCAGAGACAGAATTACCTGAAAGTTCATGGTCCACAGAGCCTGAAGTATACAGTGTGGCACAAACAACAAAAGTGGTTGAGAACTGATTCCTCAAAGTTGTCCTCTGCTGTACACACACATAAAATAAAACAACAAAAACATTGTTTTGGGCTTTAACTTTTTTGTTTTGTTTTTAAAGGAGAAAAATATCTTAGTGAAATTGAGAGATGATGCTTATAACCATTTGTGTAAGAAAATTATATAAGACTGAACCAAGAGTCTGATTTTTTGTTGTTTTTTAAAAATATTTATTTATTATATATACAATATTCTGTCTGTGTGTATGCCTGCAGGTCAGAAGAGGGCACCAGACCTCATTACAGATGGTTGTGTTCCACCATGTGGTTGCTGGAAATTGAACTCAGGACCTTTGGAAGAGCGGGCAATGCTCTTAACCTCTGAGCCATCTCTCCAGCCCCTTGTTTTTGTTTTTCAAGACAGGGTTTCTCAGTATCTATTGAGCCAGTCCTGGAACTCGCTTGCTCTGTACACCATGCTGGCCTTGAACTCAGAAATCCGCCTGCTTCTGCCTCCTGAGTTCTGGGGTTAAAGGTGTGCGTCACCACCACCCAGCAACTATGACAACTTGAGGATGAAGCAGAAGTAGGTGGCCAGCACAATTAGATTACATTTATAATTCGCTCAAGTGACTGGAGAGATCAGTCATCCATTAAGAGCATTTGCTGGTCTTTTAGAGGACCAGAACTCTGTTCTAGCATTCACATGCCATCCATGCCCACAGCCATCCAAGCCATCCATCCATTCTAGGGGATCTAGCATCTGACAGTTTCTGATGTAATACATACATGCAGGCAAAACACTTGTAAGATACAATAAATACCTTTAGAAAGAAAAGAAAAACATAAAACTAGCTTTGCAGGGTATAATAGTGCATACCTAATCCCAGTGTTGGAAAGACAGAGGAAGGTGTGTCTTTGAAGGCCAACAGGGTTATATAGTGAGCCACCCTTCCAAAAAACTGACTGAAGAGACGAATAATCATAAAAGCTTCGCTAGTGAGGCAGAGAGCATTGTTAATAAGGTAAGTTTAGAAACTATGTAGTTATATTTCTTCTCTTTGTTTTTTCTTAAGGAATTGAATGACCTGGCCCGAGATCCTCCAGCACAGTGTTCAGCAGGTCCTGTTGGAGATGATAGTAAGTATCTGAATGGAGCTGCAGCATAACAAGACTTTCTCTTTATTTTGGGGGTAGGGGTGTGTGTATGAGAGTGTGAGAGTATCAGTTTAAGCATCACAGTTTTGCATGTGGAGGTCAGTGGACAACTTGTAGTTTGTTCTTTTCTTCCACTATGTGAGTCCCAGGATTGAACCCCGGTGGTCAAGTTTGGCTTCAGGCACTTCAGCTGCTGAGTCAGCCCTCTTACTGTTATATGTTAAGAGGTCATTTGCTATAGGAGGGAAAGGGGAGTTTTAACTCATAGTTTCCTGTGACAGAATATGTTTTGGTGTTGTTTTGCTTGTTTGTTTTGGTTTTGTGTGGTTTTGTTTGTTTGTTGTTTTTTTATATGGGTTTTCTCTGTATAGACCAGGCTGGCCACAAACTCAGACATGTACCTGCCTGCCTCTGCCTCCTGAGTGCCGGGACTAAAAGCATTTACCACTATACTTGAACAGAACTTGTTTTAAGTATACCTAATCATCTTATTATATTTTGAGCTTCTTCTGGCAACGTTATCTTTGTGGTTGCTCTGGTCTCTTTCTACCTGTTCTTTCTTTTGGATATTTTCCTGGGATAAAAGAGCTGTTAACCTACACTTGGCTATTTTGCTCTCTAAGAAAATCATTGTATTTGTTTGTATTTAACTATATTCTACTGGATTATATGTATGAAGGCAGATATATTTATTAAATTGTTTACAGTACTGTGGGTTGAATCCAGGGCCTTGTGTATGCTTGTGTATTACTGAGAAACATTCCTTGCTAGAGTAAGTTAAAATGTGTTTGTTTGTTTATTATGTGTTGGGGGGAGTTTCTCCTACCCTATGAGTCTTGGGGAGTTAACTTAGAATGTCAGGATTCAGCAAATGTCTTTACCTGCTTATTGGCCCTACTAACATTTTAATACTAGTTTAATACAGAAATACTAAATTTAATATTAAAAACAAAAAAAGTAGACTCATTGTCATGCAATCCTCTTGTCCCAACCTCCCCAATGCTAGGATTCATTGTGTGAGTGTTTTTGTTTTTTGAGACAGGATTTCTCTGTGTAGCTCTGGCTGTCCTAGAACTCCAGACCAGGCTGGCCTCAAATTCACAGAGATCTGGCTGCCTCTGCCTGTCAGGTGATAGGATTAAAGGTGTGAGATGGCTCAGGTGTGAGTCTTTAAACCCAGATGATTTGGAATGTTTTCTTTTGGTCCAACCTCCCCCCTCCCTTATTCCCCCCCTTTTTTTCTTTTTTTCTCACTGTTTTTCTGCCTAGTCTGGAACGGTATAGACCAGCTTGTCTTGAGTTCAGAGATATGTTTGTTTTAGCCTTTGAGTGCTAGGATTAGCCTGGTAGGAAGTGTTTTAAGCATGTGAAAATAATTGATTTTTGCTTTGCTGCTATTGTAGCTTGCATTATTACATTTATCTTTGAGCAAAAATTGCTGTCCTGTAAAGTTAGGTACCCTCAAAGGGTAAATAATTTTTCAAAGTAGACTATTTAGACTTCATTTATTTTAACAAAAAAAGGAAGCAGCCTGATGATGGTGACTCATGCCTTTAATCCCAGAACTCAGGAGGCAGGGGCATGAGGATCTCTTGAGTTCGAGGACAGCCAGGGGTACACAGAGAAACCTTGTCTTGAAAAATCCAAGAAAACACCTTAATATGCTACAAATGATAGCACTGAGAAAGAGTTAATACACACTGAATATTGTGGTGGCATGTCTGTAATCCCAGAACCTGGGAAGTGTGGGCAAGAAAATTAGGAGCCCAAGGCCAGTTTGTGCTATACAGTGAGACCTTGTCTCAAGAAACAAAACTATGAGATGCCACCAAAGTTACCAAACGGGGAAAAAAGGCTGGATGATGGCTCAGCTTGCTGCTTTTCTAGAAGACCTGAGTTCAGATCCAAGTACCCAGGGATAGCTCAAATCAACCTGTAACTCTAGTTCTAACACCCTACTCTGGCCTCCCAAGCATCTGCATGTCACACACACAGAAACATAAAATTATTTTTTAAAAAGTTTCTTAAAAAAAAAAAAGCCAGCTGTGGACCCACATAGTCTCAATAATTGAGAGGCAGCAGTTACAGTGTGAGACACCCACTCCTGTTTTTTTGTTTGGTTGTTTTTTGTTTTGGTGTTTCAAGAGAGAATTTCTCTCTAGGCCTGACTGGCCTGGAACTCAGATCTCCCATCTCTTCCTCTCAAGTGCTGGGACTAAAGGTATATGCCATCACAGCCCCAGCTAGTGAGACCCTATTTAAGAGAGGAACATGGTAGAAACTCGGTGTGGTGGAATAGGTTTATAATCCTAGTACTTGAGAAATTGAATGAGAGGATCTCAAACAATCTCTGAGTTCCAGGACAATCAGAAAGAACTGTTACACAAAGAAACTCAGTCTGAAAAAAGATACTGAAGCAACGTAGGCTAAGTACAACAAAATGATTAAGATAGGGTAGGAACTGGAGAGATGGTTCAGTCGGAGCATTTACTATGCAAACCTATGAACCCATGTAACCCATGTAACCAGTCAGATGTAGTCTCACCTGGCTGGGCTTATAGATAGCTATAGCCTCCATCTTTATGGAAAGCTGAGACAAGGTAGCTGGATCTTACTGGCTTGCCATTCTAACTGAAAAACATAAGCTACGGGTTTAGGAAGAGAGAATACATTAAAACAAGGCAGAGAGCTGGGCGGTGGTGGCACTTGTTTTTAATCCCAGCACTATGGAGGCAGAGACAGGTGAGTCTCTGTGAGTTTGAAGCCAACCTGGTCTACAAAACAAGTTGCAGGACAGCCAAGACAGTTAAACAGAGAAACTCTGTCTCGAAAAACCAAGGGGAAAAAAAACAAGGCAGAGAATGATAAAAAGAGAACACTTGATATAATCCTCTGGCCTATACCCAGCACTCAAACACACATACTTAAGAGAGGGGGCAGTAGGAAGAGAGAGATTTGTCAGTTGTTTGTGTTTTGTGTTTTATTTTTTTGTTTTGGTTTGGTTTTGGGTTTTTTGTTTATGAAACTGTCCGTTATGTAACCCTGGCTTGGCAGGTACTCATTGTATAGATCAGGCTGTCTTTGAACTCCCAGAGATTCACTATTCTCTGCCACCGAAGTGTTAGGATCAAAGATGTGCATCACTACGTCCAGTGCTTTTGATTCAAATTTTAATGCTCTGTTTTTTTCCCCTTGAAGTAAGCTGAAGATATTTAATCTACTTTATTTTGTTATGAACTTGGTAAAGTGACCCTCTTGGGATCTGTGTGTGTTCAGACATAGGTCTCTGAAGATTTAATTGCAAACTAACAAATGTTTCTTACTATCTGTTTTAACTGCAAGCCTTCATCTGTAGTGCTAAAAAGAAATTATTGAGCTGTGAAGATCACCTTTAAAAGCTTATCCAACAGATTGTAGCTTTCAGTTTCTGTAATTTGATTTGACAGCATCAAACCAAAATTGTAATAGTAGTCACTTTTTTGTTTTTTATTGTCCAAGTTGTTTAGGGGTGGGTATGTAGCCCAGTCATAGAGTACTTGTCTAATATGCATGAGGCCATGGTTCAGTACCACCAAAGAGAAACCCTTGTTTTGTTTTGATATCATTTGACTCATGGTTAGATACTATATTGCTGTTGTTTCTCCTCATTCATATTTACTACCTAAAGAGAACCAAGAGTATAAAAGAAGGAAACCTGTTAGTGATTCCAATAGGTATTCCTACTGCTGTTGCTGTAAAGGTTCTTGAGAACAAGACTAGTAAGTTGCTCAGTGGGTAAAAGAAAGTATTTACTACGTTTTGTCTTCCAACTCATAGTGGTAGGAGTGAACTTAATCTCTCTGAAAGTTGTCTTCTGGCCTCCACTCCTCCATACACTGTGGCACATGCACACTTTCCATACTTCATACACATTCAACAATAATATTAAGATTGTTAAAGTTCTTAAAAGTATAATCCCTCTCAGAGACACTATAGTGTCTTCACTAGAGTATGGATATGAAAGACATAATTGTGATTTGAATGAAAATGACCTCCAAAGACTCAGGGAGTAGGTGTATTGGAGGTATGGCCTTGGAGACAGTGTGTCATGGGTGTGGGCTTTGAGGTTTCAGAAGCTCAAACTAGACCCAGTTTCGCTCTCTTTCTGCTGCCTGAGGTTCTGGATGTAGAACTCTTCAGCTATCTCCAGCATCATGTCTGCCTGTGTGCCACCATGCTTCCCTTCATGACAGCAATGAACTAAACCTCTGAACCTGTAAACCAGCTCCAATTAAATGTTTTTCTTTAGAAGAGTTGCCATGGTCATAGTGTCTCTTTACAGCAGTAGAATACTAAGACAGCAGTACTACTTGAATGTTGATATTTTCCCTTTTCTATTAGAAAGAATATTCTTTACATAATTGAAAATGTTCTGGTTGCCAACCTGTTGCCATTTCTGTTCTGTTTTACTTATTTTTCATAGATTTGATTCTAAAGCATAAAATAACACTGACCATAAAAGAACTATTTATCTTTTTAGCCAGAAACTTGTTCTGATTTATGTTTTCTCAAGTCTTATATTATATTGATTTTATAGGCAGTGGTTGTGGGTGTTTGAACATACTTGAAGGTAAAAAGGACAACTTGTAGGAATTGGTTCTTTTTCCTTGTTGTGTTCTGGGGATCAAACTTAGATTGTCAACCCTGGTGACGGGTGTTTTCACCTGTTGAACTCTCTTGCTGGCTATGTTTTTGTCTTGAAACTTTTTCCCTCTGGTAGCTCAGGTTGAGCCTGAATTCTTGAGTAATCTTTCTGCTTGAGCCTCTCCCACCTGCTGAGCCATCAGAACTGTTTCCTTTTCTCCCTTCTTCCTGTGTGTAGCAGGACTAGGGATTGAGCCTATAACCTCGCACCTGCCAGACTAGTACTCTACCGTTAAAGCCACAGCACCAGCCTCTTAATTTCTTCTTAAATCTGGTATGATTTTTAGCAAGAATAAAGGATTGCTCTCAGAAGGCTAGCAACAAAGAATTAATACTTAGCTGCTGGAAAATTTTATGCTTGAAACCTCAGTGTTTTGAAATTCTTATTTAAGTGCTTTATTTTCTGATTCTTGGAACTTGACCTGGACCACGATAGACAGATTCAAATTACATAAGAAGATTATGTAGAAGGGTATAACTTAAAACAGATCTAGTTGTTCATTTGATTATTACTACCTGATAGTGATTTAAGCTTTATAGGTATTGGATTTTTTGTTTAAATTTTTAAATTTACTTATTCTTATTTTAGGTGAGTTGGCTTTTTACTGTGTATGTCTCTGTGTGTGAGGGTGTTAGATCTTGGAATTACAGACATTTGTTAGCTGCCGTGTGGGTGTGGGAATTGAACCCTGGTTCTGGAAGAATACCAGAGCTCTTAACCACTGAGCCATCTCTCCAGCCCGTTAATTTTTTTTTTTTTTAATTGAGGCAGGGTCTTAACTGTGTAACTCTGACTGGCCTGGCATTAGTTGTTTGTATCAAAAGTTTTTTAACAAAGTCAAAAAGATCCTCCTGCCCCTTCCTCTTTAGTACTAAGATTAAAGGTAAGTGCCACCACAATGCATTACCTATTGTTGTGGCTGGGAATGTAGCTCAGTTGGTAAAGTACTTATGTAATATGCACAGGGCCTTAGGTTTGAACCTCAGGACTACATAAACTGGTTGTGGTGTCACATGCCATCATAAAGGTGGAAAGGTCATCCTCTGCAGTTTCAAGCCAGCCTGGCATGCATGAGACCCTGTCTGAAAATGTTAAAATATTTAGAGCTGAAGAGATGGTTCCTCAGTTAATAGTACTTGTTTCACTTCCTGAAATTCAGTTCCCATAACCCTCTTGGTAGCTCACAACTGTCTGCAACTTCAGGTCCAGGGAATCTTGTGTCCTTTCCTGGCCTCCTGGGCACCACATACATGTAGTGCACACACATACATTCAGACAAAACACCCAGTGCCACATATTTGTAGGGCTTTAGGAATTGTACCTGACTGGGGTGTTAAATGAAGAAAATACAAACATATGGAAACAGAAAAGAAAGAAAAGCTGAGATTGGGTGCACTGAATTTACTGATGCAGAAACCACAGTACTCTGTGTGTTCATTGTATAGTTAAAATGGAAAATGGGGTTATTACAGCTGAAGAAGAAGGCAGGGCTGTTATATACAGATAAGCAAGGAGGCAAAATTTATGGTGTACTAGCAAACACTGAAGCAAGTTTAGTTAATCTCTGTAGGAGCAATAGTTGTGGGGAGTGGTCTTTGAGCTGTAATCATCCAGGAGAGAAAGTTCCAGTGGGCACTTTCTGTACACACTATAGTCTGCACACTGGCCAGAAAAGAGCTTTGCCAATTCTCTGAGCCTCATCCAGAGGGGAAGGCTTTGCCATTTTCCCATGGGTCTGAAGCTTTTTATTTCTTGACGTGGTTGTATGCACGTCAACAAGACACATTCCACTCAGAAGTTCACTCATTCAGGATTTCCTCTACTCCCCACTGAAAACAAAAGGAAAAATTAAAAAAGACAGCTATCTTTCTGAGTTGAGATGATGGCCCAGTGTGTCAAGTGTTTGCTGTACAGAATGCAAACAAGCATAGTTTAATATACCTAACATCAATAGAAAAGGCTGGATGTGTAGCCTTGTACCTGTAACCAGTGCTGGAATACGAAATGTGGAAACAAGTGGGTTGGGACTCAGTGACCAGCTCTTGTAGCTGAAAAGGTCGGCTTCAAGTTCAGTGAAAAAACCTGTCTAGAATAAAAGTAAGGTAAAGAATATGTCCAAAGTCAACTTCTGATCTCCACACACAGAGATAACACTCCCACAAACACATGCATGTGGACATATTCACCACATGCACACTTGAAAATAGTTTTTCCTAATTTGAGGTATTTAAACCCTTTCTGTAATATACCAACATTATTTTTTAAGTATATTTTATGCAATTGTATTGAAGAATGATTAAGTCTTGGAAGTAGCCAAGTGGTGGTGGCCATGTACTCCTTTAATCTCAGCACTGAGGGGGCGGGGCATGTGGATCTCTGTGAGTTAGGGACCAGCCTGACCTACAGAGCAGTTCTAAGTTAGCCAGGACACAGAACCTGTTTCGGAGTGGGGAAGAAAAAAAAAGACAAGTCTTGGAAGCAAAGATATATATATATATTTGTGTGTGTGTACATATATATTTTTTAATTTTTTAATACAAGATTTTTCTGTGTAATAGCCCTAGCTGTCCTGGAACTCACTTTGTAGATGAGGTTGGCCTTGGATTCTTAGAGCTCTGCCTGCCTCTGCATCCCAAGTGCTGGGATTAAAGTTAAAGGCATGTGTCTCCACTACTCAATAAATCATTTTTTGAAATAGCATTTAGAACTTTCCTTTGGGGGCTGGAGAGATGGCTCAGTGGTTAAGAGCATTGCCTGCTCTTCCAAAGGTCCTGAGTTCAATTCCCGGCAACCACATGGTGGCTCACAACCATCTGTAATGGGGTCTGGTGCCCTCTTCTGGCCTGCAGGCATACACACAGACAGAATATTGCATACATCATAAATAAATAAATATATATTTTTTAAAGAAACGAACTTTCCTTTGGACTTTGTAAACAAATTTATCTTCCAGGTGTGACTTTGAAACAGGTTTCCTTTGTTGGTAAGTTAGTTGTTTGGTTTTAGTGATAGAATGACCATGTAGCTGTGGCTCACCTGGAACTCACTGTGTAGACCAGGGTGGCCTCAAACTCTTTACTCTTTAATCTTTTTAGCCAAGGATAAACTTAGATTTAGCATCATGGCTCAGCTTTGATAGCATTGTTGTTGTAGGTATACTATACTACCATGCTTAGTTCCAATGTGTGTGCACATCCTCTGATGGAATATGTGGAGGACAACGAACATCTTGGGAGTCCTGGTAATCAAACTCATGTCAGGCTTGATAGCTCCTGTTGAGCCATCTTTCTGGCCTCAAGAAAAATGTGTGGGTTCTTTTGTGTTGTTGGTGATTTTATTGTGTTTTCGATCGTGGTGGTGTGAGCTTGGTGTGTATGTATACAAGTGTAAGTGTTCAGAGACCAGAAGAGGTTATCGGGTCCTCTGGCGCAGCCACCTGATTCAGGTTCTGGGAGCCAAACTCTGGTCTACAAGAGTAGTGTACATGGTCAGCCGCCGAACCATCTCTCTATCCTCTCCACCTATTTTTAAATTGGCTGTCCGTTTTTGTTTTGTTTTAGTGTATGTATTTGGTTCATTTGGTTTTTCAAGACAGGCTTTCTCTATAACAGCCCTGGCTGTCCTGGATCTCGGGATGGCATCTAAGTCAGAAATCTGCCTGCTTCTCTGCCTCCTGAGTGCTAGGATTAAAGGCACCCTGCTCGTCTGTCTGTCTTTATTTACGTGTGTGTGTGTGTGTGTGTGTGTGTGTGTGTGTGTGTGTGTGTGTG